GGGGCCGCGGCGGCCCGGCGCCGGGCGCCCCCCCCCCCCCGTGACGGCCCCCCCCCCCCTCCTTCCCTTCCCTTCCCTTCATGTCTCGCTTTGCTTCAGGGGAAGGTTTCTTTCCCCCCCGCATTGCTTTCAGCGCTACGAGGAGACCTCTCCCCCCTCCTCCCTCAGACTAGCCGCCCTCACAGCCCTCCTCCCTGCTCGGACGGACTAGAAATAGCCCCCTTTTCTTCGGGGTCTAAGCAGGAGAAGACTGACAGACCCTCGCAGGCGATGTCGAGACTGGCTACCGCCTGCGCCCGGCTCTTAGCTGGCCGTCCTAAGGGACAGCCCGGGTGTCCTCTGTTGACGCAAAAACCTCTAGGTCCTCTATTTTTCTGTTCTGGTGGGGGCCACCTACACGGGGCTGGGCAGCCCCTTCTTCGAGAGAAAAACAGAGGGCATAAAGGCACAGGGTTTTGTATCAATAGGGGATGGAGTAGCAGAAAACCGGAATGTCCCCTGGGATGGCCACCCTAGCCCCCCCCCCCGGAAAAAGAGAGTGGGAGAGGAATGTGTGATGGTGACGGGGGCAGGAAGAGATGAAGGGGCCGGGTACGCCCAGCGTGGAAGGGGTGACACTGGGTTGCTGGCACAGCCCTTGCCCGGCTGCTTTCAAGTCCTTGTGGGGAGAGCCTGGTGCAGCAGTGAAAGGGTCTGAGTCCCCTGGGGACTTCCCCGTGCCTGCCCTCAGCCGGGAGGGGACCTGGGGGGGACAGTGGAGGCTCTTGTCCTAGTTCCCAGGGGAGGGTTCAGAAGCGGGGGCTTCTCCTCGCAGCTCCCAGCACTGATCTGTGCTGAGGAGACGTGGTGGGCAACGACCAGGGTGAGGCATCACCCCCTTGAGGGCTCCTCCTGTGCCTCCTCTCTCAGGACTTGCCTACAATGGAAAGTTACAGCAGGGAGAGTGAAGGGTGAGGGGTGTAAAATCCATGTACAAGTCTAAACCCCGCGTGGATACTTTTATTCTGGTAAAAGCCTTTTTTTTCTGGGGTAGCTTAGGTCATTCCAAAAGGGTCAAAGCCTAATTCTGGAATAAGAGTGTGAGAAGCTATGGCTACATGACTGGCATGGCAGGGAACCTGGGGGCAAAAAGCCCAGAGGGAACTGCCTTAATGCAGCTGTGCTCCAATGAACAGCTGTGGCTGGAAGAAATTGCACTGCCCTGGGAAGAAACTGCCCCGGCTTGGAACCAGGGCAAAAAAAATCCCTGGTTCAGGGCAAACTGACCTCAGTTTTAGGGAGTTGCATCATGTGGCTGCAGCGTTTTTCCTCAGAGCATCTGGGGTTTTCCAGGCTACCTTGTTCATGTGGCTGCAGCCAGAGTGGCCACTTGAGGGGGTTTTCCCTGTATAAGCATATTGGTTTAACAATATCAGGATACCAGCATATCATTGCAATACTTTAGTCAGTGGGCCTCAGTTGGTGGCTTGTGGGCTCTGAGTTGCCCACAAGACCTTCTGATGTTACTTGCGGCCACAGCTGGGACTGAGGTTGCCCAAGGGAGCCCGCAGCATGTTACTTGCTCAGTGGTGCTGTCCATGAGCCAGCAGAGCCAGGGTGGGAAAGTTGTCAGGCTTTCCCATGAACATAAGCCCTTACAGACAGAGTGGCATGCTATGGTGATACATACATTATAATTGCTGGACATTTGCATTAATCCATCAGTAGGAGCAATGGGACGGCTCACACCTCAGGGTTAGTATATTAGGCTATCTGCAGATCCATGTGGATTTCAGTGACTCCTGGATCATATTTCTGAAGCTTTCTTTGCAGCCATACCAAAATGAGACTGGCTCTGATTTAATGACAAAATTTAAATTTCAAATGTAAATGAAAGCTGAGATTCTGGAGGGCAAAACGCTTTTATGCTGTATTGGCTGAGTTTGAGTTTTGGTGTTCAGCTTCCGTTCCACTTCAGTCCTGGGTCTTTCTGCTGAGACTGTCAATACCAGGAGTGGTTTGATGTGTGATGTGAACGCTCGCATGCTGGGAAATAACCCAAGGCCCACTATACTCATTTCGTGTAATCTGCATTGGCAGAGAGGGCTTTGTCCCCAGTGTAGGAGGAGACCGAAGGGGTAGGAGCTTTTGCCGAGATTTCTCTCTAGTTGCTCCATTAGGGAACGGGAAAAAAGTTAACCTGAATCTGGCTATTCAGTCTCACCTCTATGGGCTGGAGAACTGTAATGCCAGTCCAGCACATTGTCTGCCTATTCCCCTTGGTGGATTTACTGACCCGCTGAGCACTCTCTGTAGTGTTAGGGGAAGGAATCCTCTGTCCCCAGCTCTGCAATTTCATTGCAAATGTCACAATGTGGTATTTGCTGTATTTCTTAAAGCCTTCACTCCTGGAGTCACGTGAATCCATTCAACTCTCTGATTTCTCCTTTTAAAAAGAGGGATGGTTTTAATTGTCATGATTTAGTTTAAAAAACGCAAGTGTAGCGAAACAGTTCCAAAACCAAAGGACAAATAAAAGGAACCCTAAGGGTATTATGAGGGTGCCTCCCTTCATTATGGAAGATGTGAGCCACATGAGAAGGGACATTGCCATGCACAAATAATGGGGGTGGGGTGAGGTGAGGGATGCAATTAAGTCACATTTCTGATCACTAGACATAGAGATGATCTATGAGCTAGCGTGGAAAGGTTCTGTATACTGCGTTCAATTCCCTGAGCCTTTCTTTAGCCTGGACTGTTCTCATGTTACTTGAGTTATTTTCATTCATACAAAACCTATCAGTTAGGCTGATGAGGATTCTGGATGACTCGTTTTCTGGATAGAAAAATCCTCTGTTGTTGTCTAATCTCATTTCTACATTTCTGGATAGAAAAATCCTCTGTTGTTGTCTTGTCTCATTTCTACCCCTGCCAGCTCTCTTCACCTCCTTCCTGTCCTTTTCTCCCTCTTCAGAGCTCTAATTAATACATAACTGCAATGGCCATGCCATGCCCACTGAAAAATGTGCATTGAATTAAATACGATGCTTTCCTGCTATCGAACATATTGTCTCTACTAATCACATCCCTAATGGATAGAGTTATTGGCTGTTTTTTAAATTTAGAACACCAACACTGTTTGACTTTTTTTTGACTTTAACTTTTCCATTTTTAAATACAATTGTGACTTTAGCCACCCAGAAATAAACCCACGTTATAACTATAATGATACATATTTTAGCGCTGTTCAGTGTAGAGCTTCCGAGGGCTTTATCCATGTCAAAGGTAAGGACAAACAAACAATTTACACGAAGTTACAAGGGAACAGGAACTTACTGCACATCAGCTGCCCCATGGTACCATTTGTTTGTCCACTCTTACCCCACGATAAGTGGAAGCTAAACTACAGGAATTTAGCCCTGAGAGCTAAGGTGCTGCAATTTAGCTTTCATTTATTTCATGGCAAGAGCAGGCGCATTAACAGTTACCCATGTGATAAATCCCTATGCCCTTTTAATTGACTATATTTTGTTTGTTTGCCCACACCCAGCATAATTAAGCTGCGACTGTGAGCCAGCTAAGCCTCAATATCCCTGTTTTCACAGAACTGATGCACAGAGATCCACATTTTCAAGAATGGCGAGTTATTTAAATAACTCCATTTCAGGGACCACAGCTCTTAAACTATTCACAATAAAGACTGTATACTGCTGCCCGTCTCTGTAGTAGCTGTGCTTCTTCTGAGCAAAATCAGTCTTTGAGGGTGTCTCAGATGGGGTACCCAAAACATGAGGCACCCAAATTTACTAGTCATTTCTGAAAACGCAGGCCAAAGGGTGTAAGCAAATTAGTGGCTTCCCAAATGAAGACAGTCACTGGCCTCCTCAGGAAGAGAACTGGGGAGTCCTGACCCCCATTTCCTGTTCTGACCACTAATCAAGGTTGATAGAGCCAAAATATTTGTGGCAGTGTGAAATTTATCTGCTAAATATTTTATTTTTGTTGTTGTTAGGAAACAATCCCTTGATAAGCTGCTTTGAGCGTAATGTTTTCTAGAAATGGATTTTTCCCCTATTATTATCTGTTGAGTTAGAAGCCCTAGCGAATCTTTTAGGATAATGCTGCTAATAGAGGTAATAGAGGTTTTTAAATCTCTAATACTCAGAGCTTACCATTATTTTTTATTCAGGAAGGAAGAAAGGCCTAAAAAAATACACGCCTCCCACTAAGAACAATTGCCCCCTGCCAAAATCCTTTCCTGTTTGACTCTTATGCAGGTTTAAAGATAACAGCTTTTTAGACATCTCTGTGGGGGAGAGGGTTGTGTGTATAGGAACACAAAAACACTTTAATTATTAATAAATATATTTACACAAGAACAATTTCCCTTTGGGGGAAACACAAGTTACTCATGAAATTACTCGGGTTATATTGACGCAACACTGTCAGAAAAACCAGGATCTAATCTCTTTACTATGCAGACTAGAAACATCCATTTATTTTCTTGTTTTTTCTCTGCATGGAAGCCATAAAGTATTTTGCAGATACAAAAGGAGAGTTCACCATCACACATTGGTAATGGACTGGTTTGACTCAGCAGACCCAAATAAATAACTTGCCGTGTGACAATTTGGAAGGGAGAAAGGGGCTGGTTTCTAGATATAACAGATCATTGAATGTGACAGTGTCCCACTGCATAGGATTGAGTTAGCTCTCTGGCACTGAGGGTTGTCTGCCTGTCTGTCTCTCTCATTCTGTCTCCTGTAGAATATTAAGAGAGAGAAATTCTACAAGGCTCTTTAGCTCAGTAATTGAGCACCTGAAAGCAGGAAAATCTATTTTTTGATTATTTTACAGACTGTATCTGGGAAGGGTTGGCAATTTCCCAAGCCTGATTCAAGTGTTGCCTGGTTTATACATGGGAGGGAGGGAGGGAGACAGAGGTGTTGTGAGCAGATCTGTTCGACACTCAGTGTATTCTTCCTGGGAGAACTGGGGGTTATGCAAATCTGTCCTTTTGGCTCAGTGTACATCTCTCCTTTGGTCTGCCAGGCTTGAACAAACTCACGACAGAAGTCTGTCAAGATCTCTAAGTAACTTCATGAAGTTGGTTCAAATTCTGCGATGGGAAGGTAAGAGCTCCACTCTCCTCAGTTCTCTAAGGGGTTGGGGAGAAGCAGACACCATATTGGATGGTGTCGTTACGTTGGCCCCCCCAAGCAAGCCTCTCACCATTTCCCTTTCCCAGTGGACGTCTACAGACTAGCATGGAAAGCATCTTTGAACTGGCTAAGGCAACTCCTATAACTCCCTTGCTCCATATCTACAGGTGATGGGGGTAGAAAGCGTTTATGGACAATAGGAGAAGAGTGAAGGGAAGGTGTAGATCAGTAAGGATAAAGGGGGATGCATCAAGAGAAAGAATCATGGACCTAAAAAGAGTTATGTCAAAAATAGCCGTGATCACTGGGCTTATTTGCTACTTCCTGGTCCTCTCTCCTTTGTCTTTGTCCAGTTAGAACGTTAGCACTTTGCAGCTGCTACTCTGTCATCATACAGCACATCTCCGTGAAGTGCCTGCCTAGTGCACTTGAGGGCACTCAGGAATAACAGCGAGATTGTAGATAGACTGATTGATTAGCAACCCTTTAGGAAATTTTTGGACGACTGTGGACTGCGTTTCTAGTTTATTATTATTAATTTGTATTGCGGTCGCAGTATACAGTGAAGCCAGGCAGATTTCATGTGGTTATGATTATTACTGATGATTTAGATAGCCCCAGCAGCGTGCAAGGTGCTTAGCAAAGAGATTGAGACAGGGTGCCTTTCTCACAGATCTTCCAAGCTGAACAGAATCTACAGGCCTGTCTGGGGCTTTGTTGCAAACATCTCACACAGCTGTGGCCATGGGGCTGGAGGAGTCACGTATGAACAGTGTGGTTCTGATGGCACTGAGCTGCAGGCCCAAAGCATTTCTCCTAACAAGGTGGTGATTTATTGGGGCCTGAGGAGTCCTCTGAGTGGAATCATGTTTTTTCCTCCGTTGTCTTCGTTTTCGCAGACGAGCCTTTCCCAGTGCAATCCGGACTGTCACATACTGTCTGATGCAGGTTTAACCTTGTCGCCAGCATGCATCAAGCTGACACTTGCTGTGAAAGATTCAGCTGCTGCATGGATCCCACATTGCTAGCATACACGTATTTTTTCCCAGGTTAATGATGGTTTTAGTACTGATGAAGATTTGCTGCTCAGTTAACAGCAATGCGATTCCCTATATCTGGCATTTCCAGAAGCAGTATCGCGATGTAATGCAAAAGCCTCTCATAGGCTTTCATAATGCTTTGTGTGACTAGTTGGATATGGGGGAGGAGTGGTTTGGAGCTCAGGAGAGATGGGTTTCATCTCCCAGTCTACTACGGGCTTCCTCTGTGACCCTTGGCATGTTGTAAGCCATTGATACCTCATTTCATCACCTGTGAAAGTTCCTCCTCCACCCCTCTTGTGTGTCTTATCTAGTCAAGAATGTAAGCTCTTTTCCTCAGGGCCCGTTTCTTAGTACATGCAAGTGCAGCACAGTGGGAGTCTAGTTTTTCTCTCGGGTCTGCTAAGCCCCTATCAGTTAGGTACCTGGAGGTTTCAGACAACTTCAGTACTACTACAACTAAAGCCCCAGGTGTCAGGAGCATCAGGATCCAATCTCAGCTTCTGGGAAAGCTGAGACACGCAAGATACATCTCTACCACTGCTGCAGTGGTCTTTGGACCACTTTACCCCACTGCTCCCGCTGTGCACGTGCCAGACTTGGAGGTGAAGTGATGTGACAGGGGGCTGTCAAGTGGCTGGTCTAATCATTGGCCTGCCCACTTGTCTAGGTCAGTCTGCCCACCTGCCTTTCCTGCCACACCTTTAATGCAACTGAAATAGAGGTTTACATGGTAGAAGGCTGCCCATTTACTGCCTGATGCCAAGGGCATAATACATGGCTCTGAACCTTCCCTTATACTGTATCCTATGCCTCACAGATAGCATCACTATTTGGTTCCAGCCCCATGATGGACCTCCTTCTATGCCCACCTGGTGTTCGGACCCAAACTGGATTGCTCCTTCTCAGGCGGTCTACTCCACCCTCATTCTGGGCTGCAAAGCTCCCTACACCCTTCTCCCTCTTGGCAGCAGCCCTACTCTGGGCCCTTTGGCCATGCAGGCCCTGGCCTCACCTCTAGTACAGTCTGAACCCCAGGCCCCTGGCTCTGTGCATCCCTTGCAGTGGGAGCTCTGCCCCTTTGACCGTTCTGGTCCTGGCCCCAGCATCAACTAATCGAAGGTTTCTCCAGTCAGGTTAATGAGCCACTCACCCTCTCTCACATACAGGTCTGCCTTCTCGGGCCCTTCCAAACTCAGCTCACTCAGTCTCTAAGGCTGGCCCATGCACAGTCCTTCAGGCCTGCCCATGCAAACCCTACTCTCTGCAGCCTTCTCACACACCCTCTTACTGGGCTCACTACTCCACCCCTTCACTGGGGCTCTCAGCCTTATGCCCCTTGGGTCACAGGCCTGATGACATGCCTGGACCCTTTGCCTGTCCCCTCTACAGGGGCTGAGGCTATACAGTGCCCCATACTTGCCTTTCGCGGGGGAGGCACTGGTGTGGCATTTCCTGGGGACCAACCTGCCACAGGCAGCCCCACCACACCATCCTACCTTAGCAGGATGTCATTTTAGGTAATTCCCCAGGACCAGGACCCTCCTCCAGCCCCATAGTTCCTACTCTTAACCACCAGATTTTCTGGGCACAGCAGCTCCAGCCACACAATGTCATCTCACTGACTCCCTGCAACAACTTCCCACTCAGCTGTGAGAGCCTGGGTTTATATTGAGGCTGCTCAGCACCATCCTCCAATCCAGGAGCCTTCCCATGATCATGTGACTGCCTCATTAAGCTGCATCACATCTGCAGACTGGTTCACAACCTGTTCAAACCTCTTAAAGGTGACAAAGCCTCTCTAGGGTGTTCAGCACTCTGTCTCCTACATGCTTGAAAGCAGCCATGAGTACTGCTAGGGTGGCTTCACTGTCTTGTTTCCAGGTTAGATGCATGGGTAGCAGGAACAGATGGATGGGGTGTGCTGCAAAGTGGCTCTTGACATTGCTGTGTCTATTGGCAACGCGTACGGGGTGCATGCAGGTGCAGGTGCACCCCTTGTGATTGGCCGTGTACCCCCTGGAAGCGTCAGCCACAAAACCGGAAGTGCTGGTGGAAGTGCGCTTCCAGTTTTGCCACTGGTGGTTTCGGGCTCAGTGATCAGCTGCTGTGGGACCCCCACCCCATCCGGTTGGCAATCGGCTGGGGGGGGGGGCCCCCCCCCCCCCCATCAGCGATCTGGTGTCCCCCCAGACTTGGGAGGCACCAGTTGCCTATGGCTGTGGCAACACTAAAGAACTACCTACAGAGGCTAATGACTTCCCAAAGGTTACATGTGGGTCAGTGGCAGAGCTGGGAATAGATGGCTGTTATGGAGGTTTAAAGCAAACAGCTAACAGGATGTGACATTTCTATTCCCAATATTGTTTCTGAGTGGTGGTAGTAAACTGGCCATATCCCTTTACTCTGGCATGAGATTTGCTCGGTAGTAGACACGTGGTGGCAGAAAATATTTACCTTACCTGTTTGCCAAATGTGGCTTCCATTGGGTCAGCATTTTTAAAGATTAGGACTGTGATTCGGGCAATTCTGGGGCATTACTCAGGATGAAGGGTGCATTGTTTGTTAGCTCACTGGCAGTTAACCTGCCTTCCATGGTGCTCAGCAGTTGTCCCCTCAGAGGTCCAGGAGGAAGCAGACATGCAATTCGAAACAGAAGATAGCACACATCAAGCCCTGGTTGGTCCTGAACAGCTCATATATTGAAAAGTGCGTGGTCTGATTTGGGAAAATGTGCCACTATTGTTTACAGTGTGGGAGCACCATTGCTAACAGGGAATTCAAACAGTGGGTATTGCTAATGTAGCAAGGCTTCAGGGAATAGAGGTGTCTTAACGTATTGACTAAACTGGTTGACCAAGAGCCTGAACAAGAGCATGAAATTGCTAGCAGCTGCGGGGGGCCTTAAGGCTATCACCCATCCTACCACTCCGTCACCAGCATCCACAGCTGTAGGGAACTCTCTTCCAACTCCTGTTTGATTGATACCATTTTATAGTCCCGCCATGGAAATAACCCTGCAAGGTACAAGGCAGTACGTAGTCAGACTTTGTTGTTCTGGGCCTGAACTCAGACCACCCTACTTTTGACTTCAGTCCTGTAATGAAAGATGGCTGGATTTGGCCCTTTGTCAAGGAAACAAATGCAGTCAACGGCAATGCTTTCCAAACAGAAACACAAAGCAGAGGCCACACTAATTCAAGTCAGGTGAAACAAAACATGGGAACTGAAAATTACTCTGATTTCTCCTTAGGATCCATTGATCAGTCTCAGAGGTACCACAAAAAGCAAAACCTGTAAACAGCATCAAGTGGCCCTGATCCTGCCACCTTTACCCATACAGAATCCTCCACTCAAGGCAAAAGGATTTTTTTTCCTGATTAAATTGCGCAGAATCACACCCATATGCTTTACAATATGCTGACTTCCCAATGCTTTCAGTGGAGGCAAGGAGACAGAGTACTGGCAAAAGTTAACCAATAATGAGATAGGAAAGGGTGAAAACTTCCTAAACTACAATTGCTTTCAATTATAGGAAATAGCTAATGCCAAAATATGTCATCAGGTTTTGATAGACTGCATTCTTAACTATATTACCAAAGCTAGTTGTGTTAAAGGCAGCAAAACCCAGACAGAGATCAAACCCCCTGCCGCCCCCACTGTCCTATCTAATAACTTGGTTTTAAGAGTATTTGCTGTTGCTATCAGTGTTGCTTTCCTGATGTCAAATAACTCATTTGACTTACCTGGCTTTCTTCATCACATTCTCCTGCATTGCAGAGGGATTTGCTTTCCATTTCATTAGTGAGCATTCATTAAGCCCTCTGAAAGTTAAAGTGTTAAACATGATTAATTATTCATTACTATTAACACTTGCTTTAGGCTTCTTCATCCCAACATAAGCATTCTGATTCAAGGCATATTACCTTT